ACATCAGCAAAATTCATTCTGTTCGCGTGTTTCCTAAATTCGGTGATAGCATAGCGCTCTTTCATTTTTCTGACGCGTTTACCACCGCGTTTCTTTCGTCCCGGATCGATAGGCTTTGGCAAAGGTTTCACAAATTTTACAGGAGGTGGTTCTTGAAGCTTATCGAGCTTCTTCTCAATTTCTTCACGAAACATTTGACCGATACGGCCATCTGTACTTTCATGGCATGCATCGACTCGGGCAGCTAGCATACTTTTCGCTGCGACAAGCCTTGCTGCCTTCCTTCGTAAATCCTGAAAGAATTAATTGATAACGATAAAAAAATATCGAAAAATACTCGGCATGTGCGTGTTAATTAACTCACTGGTGGTGTTTCTTGTACAATATCAGAGTAATATATAAATCCAGTATGAGGTAAAGTTGTTACTTGAGAAAATCCAGACAACGTGGTTTTTTGAGATCCCAAAACTAAGACGTTGCAAGCTGGCATCTTGGAAAGTTTTGTCAGTCCACCAGCAACACCTAAAAACAAAATTCGTGTCAGTGTTGTTTTAAAAACTTTAGATATTGAAAAAAATATATTTCTTACCCATAATTTTTGCTGCTGTAGATGCTCCTACTATTACAGAAAGATTTGGAGCAATAAATGCCATTCTACTTTCAACATACTCAAATATTTTCAACTTGCAGTTATTTAATTCCACTGCCATATCACAAGCCTCGCAAATGGCTTCTTTTTCTTCTTCTGTTAATAATTGTCTGTAAATAAAATAATTTTAAAATTTAAAAGTCTGAACGAGTTGATTACTCGTTTTACATACAATTTATCAAATAATAAGTTACCCTTGTGTTGTCGATGCGGTAACTGAAACCACCATAATCGTTGCTTGAGTGAGAAATTGTTGTAAAATTTCATTGTTCTTTGCTCTGTCTAAATCATTTCCTAATTCTCTAACTGTCATCACATATTCCAATGGACCAACAACTAAAGATTCTAATTCTGGAAATCTTTTAGAGTATTTGTCTCTGGTAAACCGATGTATAGTAGCTGAAAGATATAAATTACAATGTATCTATGCAAGAATTGTATAAGAATTGTATAACCACAATATAACATTATATTATAATTGTATAACCAAAATATAACATTATACCTATTTCGTCATCAATATCCACAGCCATATTATTTGCCTCAACGATAAGCTGATATTCTGGATCAGACTCAACAGGCCCAATAATGTCCGCAGATTTCCTAGGAATTTTACTGTACTTTTCTATTTGTAACATTACCTTCTGCAACTGTTCTGAGTCACGAAGTTTCGCCAACTCTCTTACAGAAGCTACCTTTATTTCTGCAAATAAAAATGAAAGGCTAGTACATTTTTCAGCATTAGTAAATACAGCAGATCAAAAAAGGAACAAAAGAGTTAACCTTCTTCGATGGTTTTCGAAACAGAGGCCGGAATAAAATCCGGCTCTGGCTCCTCCGCCATATGATCGTTATCATCGTTCTCCTCGAGATCCGCCAACAGTTCATCGGCTAACGACATATTTCCTTCGCAAATTAAAACTTCGTTTAATAAAAACTTTGTATCTTCTCGACCACTTTATTTGAGAACTATGTTTGTCCATCTATCGTTGCGCCATCTACGCACACGTCATTCACGAAGCACACCTGTAATTGGTCAGCGCATGTCCTATCTACCAATCAAAAACTTCCTTTTGTCCGCATACATGTGACGAACTGCAGCAACGGTAGGTAATGCAGGGTAAGGCAAGACAAGACGAAGTGGCCCGTCAATCGACGATTAAGTCAAGGAACGAAAGAATGAGTAGTTCCATCCCCACCACGCAACGGAGAACTGTGTAATCGTTGACACACGATGCTCGAGAGGAATCCTGACTCTGCGTCGCGTTGCAGTATCGACGAGGATAAATAAAAAAAAAAAGAAAAAAGAAAGAAGGCCTGCCGACGAA